CAGGCTGGCCTCAAACTCACAGAGATCTGCCTGCCTCTGCCTCCTGAGTGCTGGGATTAAAGGCTTGCGCCAACCGCCTGGCTAAATATAGTATTTTTTTTTAATCGCAAGAAAAAACACCTAAAGTAGCCGAAATGTCCATTAGTAGACAGTGAACTAAGGAAGAGTCTTTCACATGACAGAACAAGACCTGGCCCCTTAGAATATTAAGCCCTTGTTTGTGTGACAAGATGGTCACAAGCATTCAGCCAAAATCTTGGTTAAAAACAGTAGATTGGGCAGATAGTGCTGTGTGCTGCAATCCCAGCACCCAGGAAACAGAGGCAGGAGGATCTCTGTGAGTTCAGAGATAGCCTGGTCTACAAATTGAGTTCCAGGACAGCCAGTGCGACATTTCCAGACGGGGCCTGTAAGATAGAGCAGCAGGTCAAGGCGCTTGCGGCAAACCTGACAACCTGAGTTCAACTCCCAGGACCACATGGTAGAAGGCGAGAACCAACTCCTGCAAGTTGTCCTCTGACTTCCGCATGCAGGTGAAGTAACTATGATAATAATATAACAGTAGCAATAAATGATAATAGAGCAGTGTGGGAAAGAACAAGAGTGGAGTACAACACGCACAGCCGTCTGGCTGCGACCTCACCTATAAAGAATAAGAGCCACTCGTTGCCTTCAAATGTGGACAGCAGTTTTTCCCACTGGGTCTGCCAAAAGTAGCCAGAAGCACCCCAAAATCTCTGAAGATGCCTTGGAAGGAAACACATTTACATGTCGGGAAGACTGGAAAGCCAGCTCGTTCATGCCGCGCCTTTCACCCCAAAGATCTGGGGCACACTTACCATGTGACTGAGTTCCAGAAGGCTACAGACAAGAGCAGCCCAGAGCCCAGGATGAGAGCCGTCCTCCTCATGGAGCCCCAGATGTTTCCCTCCTGCAGGAGTGGAGCGCGTCAGGCCGATGGCTCCGGCTAGGAGCAGCTTGAAGACCTTTGTCGGTGGGAGGTCCTTCCCATCTAAAGGCCCTGGGCTGTATCTGGGTGTGTTTGTGAAAACCAGAACTCTAGAGAGGGGGAGGGAATAGGATTGCCCCAATCCAGAGAAACTGTTGAGCAATGTTGCTGCCCAGATCTGGGTAGGTAAGGCATTTAACAGCTGTGCCATGTGTATGTCATCAGACCTCTTGGCAAAGGGAAAGAGCCACTCAGTGTGTCCCTTTTCAGTATAGTCAGGTATGGTGGCACACAACTGTAATCCCAGCTCTTGGGAGGTGGAGGCAGGAAGGTCAAGAATTCAAGGTTTGCCTAGACAGCCACTCAACTCTTACTGAATCTCCAAAAAATTCTCTTAACTAGAGGTCATAGAAGGCACCAAGAGCAAATAGCAGGGTCCCGGGCCTCTCGCAGTGGGACACCCACATCCCTTGTACACAGTAGACATGAATGACAAATGTCACACCACACTCCTCCTAAACCTAGCTGGGTTCTCCTTATATTCCTTCAGAGGACATAATTGACTGGGTGATAGTGGTGCACACCTTTAATCCCAGCACTTGGGAGGCAGAGGCAGGTGGATCTCTGTGAGTTTGAGGCCAGCCTAGTCTACAGAGTTAGTTCCTTATCATCCAAGGCTACACAGAGAAACCTTGTCTCAAAAAACAACAAACACAGAGGACATAATGGAGGCAGTAGGTCCTATGATGTGGCCTCACTCCAGCTAATCAATAGGGCAGGTCTGGAGCGTTGAGGAAGTTGACCTGAGAGGACTCTACCTTCTACCAGGGTAAGACCTGAGGGGCCTATGGTTTCTGTTGGTCCATTCCCGGAAACCTGAATCTCAAGTCAGCTCTTTGCCCTGTCCAATCTACTCTCCATCGAAAGATAAAGTCCTCTTCATGGCCAGGGAGGGCACACATGCCCGTCAGGGCCGGACTCAGGAAAGTGCTCTCTTGTCTCCCCTCTCCTGCTCTTCAGTATCTTTCTCTACCTGCCCTCAGTCTAGACTGGACTGCCCCAGACCA